ATAGGCTCCCACCTCACCAGAACGAACATACAGAAATTAAAATGAAAGGGGCCTTGACGAAGTACTTCCTTAATATCCTCCTCAGATGTAAAATTCAGTAAGAATTTTCCATTCCCCAAATCGTTCGCCGTAATCCGATCTTGCATACCCCACTTTCCTGGCATGTAGTTGATTAAACGTTCAACATTTTGCTTCCTTGGGTTCAAAATCTTTCCAATCAGTGAGAGTTTGAAATCCTGGAGCACATTAGAGCCCTCCTCATCGAGAAGACGGAATGGCTCCTCCTCATCATTGACCAGAATTCCCTTTCCCTTCGTATCATTCCAATTACCTCCACCACTACCCTGTGGTTTCATCGTGAATCCAGTACAGGACAGAGAGGCCGCAAGAAGCCGTCCTCTGTTGTACTCTGTTTTTCAAGGAGAGAAAACAGAGTTCAAAGGAAGCAGAGGAGAATGATGGTAGCTCGTCGAATAGGGAAGCAAAAGATCACCGAAGAGTGAAAAAACAATTTAAATCAGATACAAAAAACGTGCAAATTGATGTTGCTTGAGCGGTACGGCAATCCATCTTCTACAAAACTGTGTATCAGAAAACTCGATAACGACAATGATCGTTTTTAAGGCCGCCAATCGCACAAACCAGTAACCGTGATGAACTTCAGTCCCAGACAAACGGCAATGATCGTTTTTTTTAATGTGAAAGATCACACCATTAGAGACCGAGATTGAGAAGGCGTTCCGTGATAAGTACGAGAGATAACTCCGACGAAGAATTTCTATGATCCAGAGGCACAAACAACCGACAAAGATCGTGTTGTTATGTGTAAATGAGCAAATCCAGAAGGGAGAATGATCAGATCTGGAGCCATATGGACTTGATTGCCGCCGTCACCATTCCTGTCGCCGCAGAGCTTTAGGGTTTTTTATTTTTTTTACCCTTAACACTTTAGCTTTGTCTTCTTTATTTCTTATCTTATGTAAAAAAAATTATGGTATCAGAGGGACGGACTGTAGAGCCATACAACCTTATAATCCTCCCTTTCTAACTATAGTTAACACAATAAAAATCAAGCTCACAAAGAAGAAATGGTTGGAACTTGATTTTGATAAAATGGTTTTAGACCATATTTGGTAAGTTTCCAGACGAAAACGTTTGTTGGAATAACTGCATGTTGGGCATTACGAAGTAGTGTATCTACATGTAAAAATCGGAGTTAGTTTTAATGAAAAATCAACATCCAAGTGAATTTCTTGTAAAGCTTAAAGAATAACACTTGTGAAATGTCCTACTTCGGAAAATAAAGTCTTAAATGAGATAATTAGATAGAGTTCAAGTCTGGGCTCGGAAAATCGACAAATGGGCTTAAGATCTAAAAGATTAATTTCTTTTACCAAAATTCATTTGTAAAGTATTTTTGACAAGTCAACAAATATCTATCTCATTTAGTTAAATTTTGTAACTTAAAAAATTAATTTGTGTAACATAACAATAAAAATGTCATTAGGTAGAGAATGAATTCTCACTGAAAATTTTTTTTTCCCTTTATGAAAAGTGGTCATTTAGTTTTTGGCTACAAAATCAAACCATATTCTTTTTAGAAACTAAGAAATTTGACACATCCAAAATCGAAAAGAAGAAACAATTCTCCCACTTAGAACAATTATGTTAGTATTTTTATTTTATTTTCTGTTTGAAAGTACAACACAAAAAGAGAGTCATTAGCTTCTATTCTGAATGATGGAGAATAGGAGAAGTGTGGTAGTATCTTGAGATTCTGATTGCGTAAACACCATCACACTACGGGAAATTAAAGAATTAATGAAAGATTGCCTTGCTTCCACACGCAACTATTCTCTTTTCATCATATTTCAATATCAAATATTGTATATTTTATTTATATTTGTCATTATATAAACAAATTATTTATCTATTCCGGTCTGGATTCCCAGGCCACCTCAAGCCTGAGTAATAGATCAGCCTTTCGTTGTCAAAAAAAAAAAAAATTATTCAAGCATATAAAGTCGTTGGCAAGAAGCCAAATAAACTTAGTGATAATTATCAAACTAGTGTCATGCGTTGAGTTTTATGTACGAGGATTAATTGTATCTTGAAAAGATGACAAAAAGCATTAGACATTTGATCTTGACTAATGTTAAGAGCTTATGTTCATTGTGATGAGAACATAGGATCCTTATATTAAAAATGTGTCATAAGATCAAAATGGTATATCATCAAAAGGAAGGTTAAAGCATATGAATTAAGATGAGGTTTGTTGGTAAATCTACCTAAATGACTGGAGATCCCATGAAATATGTTTAATGAGACAACTAAGTCAAACTAAATCTGTCAAAGCACTGTCAGACTTCCGTTTATAACAGTTTCTATGATGATTAAACAGTGCTACATCTAAGGATTAGAGTATAAGAATTTGCTTTAATGATATGTGTTAATAGCTTTGAGATATAAATGGAGTAGTACATGATAGTCCTTTAAACAAAGCTAATTGAAAATCACCTTGCGAGTGTGAAATGTGTCCGTTTCTAAGAGAATGAAAAAAATGTTATATTCTCGAAATTCATTATTAACCAGACAAGTTCACGGCCAAAATGAACACAATAGAGAACCTAGTTCAGAGTTCAGTGGGAGAATGAAACTGTGTTTTAGCTATTGTGTATATTTACATCAAATCCTACGTGGTTCAAGACATCATGTTCACAATCTGGCCGAGTAAATCCGATAGCTATTAACAATGAGGTTCAAGGCTGAAAAATTTCTACCAACCCATCATGCGTGGATGTTTCGCTTATACTTTCAAAAGTCTTTAGTTGAGTCTTGTTGAGTCGTGTTGAGTCTTGTCTAGGAATTCAAGTCTACCGAATTGTATACTATCTATTGTCTAAACACATTTCTATTCATGTGGGGGATTGTTAGAACTCGTTTTTGACAAAATGGTTTTAGACCATTTTGGTACTTTCCAGATGAAAACGTTCATTTGAATAACTGAATGTTGGGAACTATGAAGTAGTGTATCTACATGTAAAATCAGAGTTAGTTTGAATGAGAAATGAACATCCAAGTGGGTTGCTTGTAAAGCTTAAAATATAACATTTGTGAAATGTCTTACTTAGAAAAACAATGTGAGAAATGAGATAGTTGGAAAAAGTTCAAGTTCGTGCTTGGGAATCGACAATTGTGTGTGCGATCTAAAAGATTAATTTCTTTTACACAAATTCATTTGTAAAGTATTGTTGACAAGTCAACAAATATCTTATCTCATTTAGTTAAATTTTGTAACTTTAAACATTGATTAATTTTTGTAACATAAAAATAATAATATCATTAAGTAGAGAATCAATTCTCAATGAAAACCAAATTTATTTCCTTTTATGGAAAATGTTCATTAGTTTTTGGCTACAAAATCAAACCATATTCTTCTCATTCTTCTGTCACATCCAAAAAGAAAGAGAAGAAACAATTATCCCACTTACAATAGTTATGCTAGTGTATTTTTTTTTATTTTGTGTCTGAGAGTATAACACAACAAGAGGGCCGTTAGCTTCCATTCTAAGTGATGCAGAATAGTCGAAGTGTCACTTGATTCTAATTGCGTAAACACCTTCATACTACAGACAACTAAATAATTAAGGGAAGAGTGTATCGCCTCCACACGAAACCATTATTTGTTAATCTTATTTTGGTATCAATTATTGTATATTCTATTTATTTTTCATCATTATATAAACAGATTATTTAGTTTTCCATATCGTAGATATCATGGTACTAATATCCCGTTAAAACTGTAAAACTGATTTTACCCGTCAATATCGTAAAATCGAGTTCTTCTAAAGCCGTAAAATAAAATTCTCAAAAAATCACAAAATCATGTTTTCTCACTAAACCGCAATTTTCCGTCATAACTGTAAATCTTATTTTTTCCACAAAACCACAAAAAAAATTACGCCCCAAAACCGTAAAACCAAATTTTCTCGTCAAATCCAGTTTTTTTACCAAAACAGAAATTTTTTAAAAAAAAATCATAAAAATCGTAAAATCAAGCTTTCTCTTCAAAATAAAAAAAAAATTGACTTTTCTGCAAAACGAGTTATTTCACGAATACCGTAAAAAATAATTTCCTGCAAAATCTTAGTTTCCAGCGAAAACGACAAAATACGTTCCCCCCCACCCTCCCCACACCCAAAACCACAAAATAAGTTTTCTCAATAAACTGAAAATCAAATTCTGACAAACATTTGTGATGGATTTTATATGATGTAACTGAATTTGTTAGGATGCTTGATAAGCATGTGTAATGGATTTTTTTTTCTGTTACGATGCTTTGTGTTGTTATAACTTATGATGTTTTGAATTTCAAGCTTTTGAAACTTATGAATTATCATATCTATGATTTTTTTAATATTTGAACAACCCATTGTAGCATATTCGTATCTACTATGAATAAAAGTAGCAAATAAAGCCAAATGAGCCTGTCCACGTGGACAGAAATATTCGTCCAATAGAGAGACAGTTTTCGTCCACGTCACTAAATCTATTGGTTTGAGTGGGTTTATGAGAGACGTAAACCTATTTTTTTCGATCTCCTCTCATCCCCTCCTTCCCGTCTCTGCCTCCTCTCATCCCGATCCATTTCCCATTCATATTGTCACCGTGAAACAGGAATCTAGCTCTCTCTCTCTCTCTCTCTCTCTCTCTCTCTCCTAATTTTCACGGTGAGCTTATAGATCCTCTCTCTCAATTTTTTTTTGAGAGAGGATTTCTTCATCGTTTCATAGATTTGTTCATCGTTTTAAAATTGAGGTTAAATAGACTTCTATATCGGATGATATTGTGATATATGATGTACTTTTATTGCTGTTTTTAGGTTTTTGATATATCATTAGTAGTTAGTGATGTAGAATAGTATATGGTGACATGTTACCTTCTTTTTCCCTAATCCTTCTTTTTGGTACTATTGATGAAAACAGAACCGATGTGTGAACATGGTTGCACATCTATTCAACGCTCTGTTGGGAGAGACGGATATGGCCGTCGGAGTAGGTACTGTCGGATCATCGGAGGCCATAACGTTGGCTGGTTTGGCCTTTAAGCGTATATGGCAGTACAAGCGTAGAGCCGAAGACAAACCCTTCGATAAACCCAACATTGTCACTGGAGCCAATGTTCAAGTAATTAATGATTCTTCAAGCTTAATAATCATAATATTTTTTTTTGTGTTTTTGATCAAAATTTCTTACAATAATGAATCAAATTAGGTGTGCTGGGAGAAATTTGCTAGGTATTTTGAGGTTGAGCTTAAGGAAGTGAAACTAAGAGAAGGATACTATGTGATGGACCCGGAGCAAGCTGTTGAGATGGTTTTGAGAACACTATATGTGTTGCGGCCATTCTTGGTTCCACTCTCAATGGAGAATTTGAAGATATCAAACTCTTGAACGATCTCTTGGTCCTGAAGAAAAAAGAAACTGGGTAACTATATAGCCTTCATTATATCAAGGGATTATTACACACTATACAATAAATAATCCTGTATAACTAATATATTTATGTTTTTGATAGATTGGATATACCGATCCATGTGGATGCAGCAAGTGGAGGATTCATAGCACCGTTTTTGTATCCGGAACTGGAATGGGACTTTAGACTTCCACAGGTGAAGAGTATAGATGTGAGTGGTCACAAGTATGGACTTGTGTACGCAGGGATTGGCTGGGTGGTTTGGAGAAACAAAGAGGATTTGCCTGATGAACTCATCTTTCATATCAACTACCTTGGTGCTGACCAACCCACTTTCACACTCAACTTCTCCAAAAGTAACGTACTTTTGATATTGATCTCTGAAATTTTCTTAATCACCACTCCAGTGTTACTATTAGTAGCTCATAATCTAAAATAGTACTTTCATTTTTCTATATATTTTTTGTTGATATTATTTTCATGATTAAACACAGGTTCGAGTCAAGTCATCGCTCAATACTACCAGCTGATCCGATTGGGCCATGAGGTGAGCCACGAATATTGATTTAATATACCATGTTTATTAGTTATAATACATTTCTAAATAAAGAAAAATATATCAAACAGGGTTACAGAAATGTGATGGAACAAGGTGTTGTCCTCGCCACCACCAAGACCAAGCCTAAGATCTCTGTCAACAAGTCCATCCTGAAGAAGGAATTCCCCACGATGTCCAAGGCTGTTGCTAATCAGGTTTGTGTATCTCTGCAACTTCAAGATGTTTGTTTCTATGTCTTTGATGTGCTAAATAGGTTTCTGTGGTGGATCTCAAGGTGGTTCGATTTACACTGTTACTTCCTCTTGCTTTGATTTGTGTCAATATGGGATAGGAGAAGGAGATCTATTCAAAGCTCTTGAAGAGGCTGTCTTAGTCGTTGATCAACTCCCAGCTTCTTTAACAGTGATATCTTGCGACGAGCCTTTAATGAAGGTGACATACATGTTATTTTCAATCTCCATTGGATAGGATTATTGTTAGTTGTAACTGAAAGGATCAACATGTGAAGTTCCCTGTACACAGGAACAAAAAGAGCAATCAAAATTTCAAGCGCAAAATCAAGGTACACGAACAAAACACCTATCCTTTAAAATTATTTTTTTAACTCAATATTGTTTGGTTTGGTGCTGCACTCTATGTATTCAAATATATATTATTGCTGATATTCCCTTCTACAGATGAAGAAGTCACCCACTTCGGTATGTCCTGCAGGTACCTCAAAAAGAAAAGACGGCAAGTGAGGTTTCTATCCCAAAACCTCCAATTTTCCTACTATAGTAAGCTCCTCAACTATAACTTGGTTTAACATAAACGTAGGTCTTTTAGAGAATAATGATAGTCCTGGACGCATGGAACATCCTCACATGTACCCTTGACAATTCCGTTTTGTAACCAGCTAAAAGAACAATTAATATATCAGTCTCATGTGAACATAGAACATGTTTATTTTCTAAATGGTTTTGAAATTGCTTCTATTGTTTGTCTTAATCCCAGTTTCCCATCATAATAAGCTTCAATTAAGTTTGTCTTCCTTGATTTAACAATACGTTTCTTTTAAACAAAATTCTTAAACACTTAAGGTGATGATATATGACAGGAATCGCGGCTGACTCATGTGCATCAGCTTCATGTTCAAGATCACATTAGTAACATCACTGAGCGGGTGATAGGAAACAAATGAGGTATGTAATCTAATTTTTGATCCTTTGTAGCTTTCTTACTTTTGGTCTCAAACTATTGTACTCATCTTTTTTTTCCTAGGCAGCTATTGCCATGATGTAGTAGGAAATGACTTACGAAGTTCTTAACTCTCCATAGACGTACTGCAGCTTTGTTTATCATTCCTGTAGTCACTTTATTTTTTCTTATTCTCATAGCTAATACGCCTGTGTTAAGAGGAAACTTGAAATATACCACTTTGTTTATAATCAGGGTCAAATGCAAATATATATGCCTTCGGGCTTTCCATTTTTGGTTTAAAAAAAAGTGTTTGGAATAAGGACCTTGATTTAAAACTCGTCTATGAGATCATCATTCTCTGTGTAACGTGAACTCTCTATTACTTAATCAACTCCAAATAACTAAAAAATAAAACTAACAAATCATTGACAGAGTTTATGATTTTCAGATTAAGCTAAAACTAGAATAAAAAAACATGAAAAGTTGTTTGTTTATAAGACACCAATAAATTAAACACCCCTGCACTAAAAAAACAAGTCTTAAAATTAAATGTTCATACATATGATCCATTAATAAAAAGTTATTTTGTATAATTTCTAAACATATTAGAATGGGTTTTTAATGGTTTGGTTTATTCGATTACAAGCCATAACAATACAAGTTTTTCTCCTCACTCAAGTAACAAACCTAGAAACCACACAATCAAACGTTGTGGCATATCATGTCAAAGATAGCTAATATTATAAGATATATATATTCCCTCTTTTTCAGAGTTATCAATGTTTTAGAGAAAAAAAAATGTTTCAAAAAGATATTTTTTACATTTTCAATATATTTTATTAGTTTATAACTGTGAATTATCAACTTTAAATAAATTAATTGTGATTATTAAGTTTTGATTTGTTAAAATTATAAAAAATAGTTAATCACAAATAAATAATATCATTTATAATTAGAGTACTGTTGGTGTTAATATTAAAACCATTGATTGTATTGTGTTATTCTTTGCTTGAGGAAGTTAGAGAACTCTGTTTGATGTGTTTTGAAATTTATATATGTAGAAAGAGGAAGAGAAATAAGGGGAGGACCTTACAAGGATTAAGGATGTAAAAGGTGGTGAAGAGGATAAGGCGCTGCAAGAGATCATCATACCATCTGCCAGAGAAGCACATGAACAGGCTAGAGCTAGAGTTCTCGAACAACAAGATGATCTTTGCAAACTTAGCCATGCACTCGGCATTTTGGCCTCTGCATCTGTAAGTAAAAGGAGTTTATGTTTTTTTTTCAGCAATGAAAACATATTTGAGAATCTGTTTGTTTTTCAGTCGGTGTGTAGAGAGCATGAAAAATTCCTGCGGCTGGACAAGAAAGAGGTACAATGTCCACAAAAGCATAAGAGATTATGTTTAGTGTTGATCCCTCTTAGCTCCCCACTGCTAAGACTTTTTCAACGCTAGGAGATTTACATAAGCAAACGAAATTTTGGCTTACACTTATGTTGGCAATGCTGATGCTAAAACAACAAAATCAACAGTTATATGATTATTGATCACAAGATAACCGTTCTTCTATTTTCACAGTTGAGAAATATATAAAGAGGGATTAGTAAAATACGCAGCCTTTTCTAAAACTATACTAGATTTTGACCCGCGCTTAAAAGCGCGGAAATTTTTTATGATTAAAAATTTATATAATTATGTTTTGTTTTAATCTAAAAAATATTTTGATATACAATCAGTTCACCAAAATTTGTGGTGATGATTGTTTTGCATTAGTTTTTAGTTTAACTTTTTATTTTTAGACTTTGATTTTTGGTTTTTAGTTTTTAAGTTTCCACTTTTCATTTTCAGTTTTTGGTTGGGTTTTTAATTTTTAAACCCGCTGAGTTAGTTTGAACTGATATTACCAACAAACAAATCTCAAATAATCGAACATCAAATTTAAAACTGAAAAGATGAAAAGAAATTATAAAAAAATTGAAATAGTTTATATTGTAAATAAACAAAGCAAAAAAAATATAATATGTGTTTTCAGCTTTTGGTTTTGGATTTTAGGTTTTAGATTTGGTTTTTGGTTTTGCTTTACATTTTTTTAATCAATAAATTATTTAAGAAAATAAAATAATAAATTATTTAAAAGTTACAATTGAAATTTATCAAAACAAAGTGATTGTTATTTAAAATAAAAAAATATATTAACATGTTTTAAAGTACATGATTTAAATAAATGATTAATAATAGATAATTTTGTTTTGTTAAAAATATTAAATATCTTTTGGGTCTGAAAATAATAATTGATTTTTTGATATTTTAAGGTGAAAAGTTTATTCAATGTTTTTGGAGTTTTTTCTTAATATTAAGCCCAAAAACCAAACTATATAATTTGTTCAAAAAATAAAAGTAAGCCGAAGACTATATTCCATAAATAATCACTGGTTTAAATTAATTATAATTAGTAGATTTCCATATTTCATATTTTGATGATATATATTCTTTTGAAACATTCCATATTTGTAGGAGAAAATATGTGTTTTCGGTATACACATAGATATCTGCCGTATTTTGAAGGTAGTTTACATTAAGGTCGTTTCTTTACATTAATTGTGTTGGTTTAATTTAAGTAATACGGTTCAATCATTTATATGACTTATATTATTTGTAACATTCTAGAAAGAGTCCAAATTTAAATGACAACTTGTATCAGTAGATAAAAAGAATGACTCTGTTTTAATATATAAGATATTTATACTTAAGCTTGGAAACTAAGCATAAAAAATTATCAAACAGAAAAAAACTTATAAATTGTTAAAATCAATATACTAGATGTTTAATATCTAAGTTAATTCTTTTAAAAAAGGACTTCCCTATAAATAAATTTGAAATTTAGAATTTTTTTTGGAAATTATTTAAAATTTCAAGTAACAAAAAGATGATTTCTTAAACATATATAATCAATATTAATATAAATGTTCCACAAGAATGTCTATGGATAAGAAAAGGATTGAAGACAATAATAACTATAAACCGAATATAATTAAACATAAAGAAAAAATATTGGAAATATAATGGCAAAATTTACATTATACAAATATAAAGTTCTAAATCAAGAAAAAATGAACTAAGCGGAAGCTTATACCTTATTACAAGGACGAAATAAAACATGCAATAAAAATGAAAGCTTAGTTTGTTATAAATAAATGAAGGTTGCAAATTTAGTGGGACTAATTAATATGATGAATAAGTATTTTTATAAAATTATTAAACATTGACAATTGGAAAATAAACTCATGTTTGTGAAGAAGATTTATCCTAAAATATATAAAGATTAAGAATTTATATTAATTAACCATATGCGATATGTTTTTAAATTAATTTGAATAAAATAAAAAATTAATACTCGCAGGAAACTATTAGTAAGAGTTAACTTTAACAACTCCATAAAAAAATTTCAAAGTTTCAAATGAGAACTAACAAAAGAATTACAAGATATTTTCATGTGCTGATAGACATTTGATGTTATTTAATTAAAAAAAATAACCAGAAAAAGAAAGAAGTTAGAGGAAATAGAAGATATGAGAAAATAAAGAAGACTTGTGATACATGAAACCTTAGAACTATTCACCGCGCTAGATGTTGAGATGGACACCATCTTGGGTATTAGACCTAAAGAAACCGAATATTATAGGACATAAAAAAATATTGACTAATATTTATTTATTATTATTTCAACCAGTTATTTAAATACATAAGTTGGTAACAAAACATAGACTATTATGCAAGTTGAGTCAAAAAGCTCAACCATGGAAATTTATATACTACATTATCATTTCATTTTAAACAAAAAAATATTAATTTTCTCAAGTTCAAATGACTATATTTTCTTAAATGTATAATTATGGTGCTCATACAAATTTCTATGTCTTTGTTATAAAGAAGTATTTTGATCTATTACATGCATAAAATTTGGTTCATATTGCATAGTCTTTGGAAACTTGAGAAAAAAAAACTAAGATGGCAATTTTTTTTTTAAATGGTTAAACAATAATAACAACTTCAATTAAATATGTATATGGTTTTTGACATAATTTCATAATAAAAATATCTCTACTAAATTATTTTATTGTTTGTTATTAAAAGCGATGATCTGTGACAAGAAGTATTTTAAAAACAGAACCGGCTGGTTAGATCATGACCCTCTCTCTTCTAAACAATTTTGAGTTGTGCTAAAACCAACCAATTCGGTTTAAGAACCAGTTACTCGCTAAAATCCAATGGTCCAGTTTGACATTAAACGCTGACTTTTATTCAAATTAAAGTTAAAAATGTAATTTTTAAAAAAAACTTTCATAAAAACCTGTATTGTTTTTAATATCTATTTAAAAAAAAATATTTTCATTATATTTTATATTATTTTTTGAAGTTTTCATTTTATTTTCATATCATTTTAGCTTCATACAATGATAAAAAGACTTATAAAAACAATTTTATAGTTATACATATATATATAGATACTTAACTTAAAATTAAATTAAATTTACAACCCAGTGAGACCGGTGTTACTACAATGTCAAGTAAATGTTCGATTTGCTATTGAAAACATTGATGACAATGATAAATTAATATCATCCAGTTTATAAATAAATAGAATAAATAAACATTATTCATAACAAAAAAATATATACAATCTTAAATTTACATAATATCATTTTAAATTTAAATAAAAGTCAACTCATTTTCTATACTTAATTTTCAGATTTTAATAGTGATTATTTTCTAACAACATTTTGAAGATAGAAAATATAAAACTACAGATTAAAATACTACAGTAATTATTATGTAAATTATTTATACCAAAAATAAAATGAGGGTTCTGTTTAAAAAAAAACAGAAAAACTATATTTTGTAAAAACAAATTGTCCATTATTAGTATTACTTATCAAACTCTTACTTGCATAAACTACAATAATTTTGTTAATCTTTATTTTTCTATATTTAATTTAACATTCAATTTCTTCTGTTTTTAAGTATAAGTTTAATTATAAAATCTATTTTCTATATAAAAAATTGGAAATTTTATTTAACGCGCGGCCAAAAGATCTAGTTATAATAAGTTTATTTGTATTTTGGTCAACCAATTGTAGAAGATTTGCTTTATAATTTTAACCTCACTTATATGGTCTTTAATGGACTCGTGGGCATCTCATATGACTATGGTCATTAATGGACTCTGTGATGGAAATGGTAAATTTTTTGTCCACAAACAAGAAATGTTCATCTAGACATGGACAAATGGACACAAACTTCCTAATAGACAATT